ACTCTTACTATTACTATTACTAAGGCTAATACCAATACCACTGCTACTGCTAATACTAATACTAATACTAATACTAATACTAATAGTAGTACAACTGCGACTACTAATACTACTGCTACTACTAATACTAATACTACTACTCATAATCATATTAATACTTATATTCGTACTATTACTATTACTAAGGCTAATACCAATACTAATGCTAATTGTACTACTACTACTACTAATACTAATACTAATATTATTACTAGTACTAGTTGTAATACTAATACTAATACTACTACTAAAACTATTGCTGCTACTAATACTAATACTAACACTAACACTACTACTAGTACTGTTACTCATACTAATGCTAATACTACTATTACTACGATTAAGGAGAATTCCACGACTACTCATATTACGAATGAGAGTGCTGGATAATACGAAGAATAACTCTACTAATCATACTAATACTAAGAAGGATGCGACTATTACTAGTAATAATAATCATCAGCATGATTACAATAATACTAATACTAATGATATTAGTACTAAGAAGAAGAGGAGGATGAGGAGGATGAGGAGGAGGGGGAGGAGGAGGAGGAGGGAGGAGGAGGAGGCGGAGGCGGAGGCGGAGGCGGAGGCGGAGGTGGAGGCGGCGGAGAAGGAGGAGGAGGAGGAGAAGGAGGGTGAGGAGGAGGAGGAGGCGGAGGCGGAGGCGGAGGAGGAGCGGAGGCGGAGGAGGAGAAGGAAAAGGAGGAGGAGAAGGAGGAGGAGGAAGAAGAAGAAGAAGAGGAAGGAAAGGAGGTGGAGGAGGAGGGAGGAGGAGGGAGAAAGAGGAGGAGGAGGAGGCGGAGGCGGAGGCGGCGGAGAAGGAGGAGGAGGAGGAGGGGGAGGGGGAGGAGGAGGAGGAGAAGTGGTAGGAGGAGGAGGAGGAGGAGGAGGAGGAGGAGGAGGAGGAGGAGGAGGAGGAGGAAGGAGCAGGAGGAGGAGGAGGAGGAGGAGGTGGAGGAGGAGGAGAAGGGGTAGGAGGAGGAGGAGGGGGAGGGGAGGAGGAGGAGGAGTGGGAGGAGGAGGAGGAGCAGGAGGAGGAGGAGGAGGAGGAGGAGGAGGAGGAGGAGGAGGAGGAGGAGGAGGAGGATGAGGAGGAGTTTTGCCAATGTGGACAAGGGTGTCTGTCCCTGCAGGTTCGCGTCGCGTCGACGTGGCGACGACCCCGCCGCGGGCGTTCCAGGTTAAGCGCCGCCAGTTGCCATGAGTCGGCCAATATGGAACGATCTGGCGAACGAATGCCACCGGTCGTTCAAGCTTGGGCGATCCACGTGGTTTCATAAACCAACGCTCCAGCACGAGCCTGCCTTGGCGAACCTGACGGGGCTGGTCTTCGAGGGGTGCCAGCGTCGAGGCGGGCGGGAAGCCCTTTTAGAAAGCCAGTGCACTTTCAAACACTGCACTCTCGCTCAAGCGTGGTGGCGCACTGTGACGACGGCGAAGAGGACGAGGAATATTGATGTGAAGATGGTGGTGGTGATGATAGTGCTGCTGCTGCTGCTGACGATGGTTGTGATGATGGTGGTGACGGTGGTGGTGATGTTGATGCTGACGATTGTGAAGATTGTGATCATGGCGGCGATGATGATGAGGAACATTATGGTAGTGGTGATGGTGACGACGATGATAATGAGAACGGTGGTGGTGATTCAAGAGGCTCATACCATTCCGCCGACTACCAGAAGAGAATATGTGCGGCTTCCGATTTCGCACATGTTGTTTGCCGCTTCCCGTTTCGCTGTCTACTGGTGGTTATTGCTGACTCGTCCTCCTCTTCCGCCCCCATTTTGGGGGACCTCTTTGAGGCCTCGCGGGCGGGCTCATGGGAGCCTTGTTCAGGCCTCTTGGAGGGTTTTTGGGGCCCTCGGGGGGCTTCTGGCGGGCTCCTCGGGGGCATGCTGGGGGTCTCGAGGCCATCTTGTGTATGTCTGTGCGCGCGCGCGCGCGCGCGCGCGTGTGTGTGTGTGTGTGTGTGTGTGTGTGTGTGTGTGTGTGTGTGTGTGTGTAGTGGCCCAGTCCTGGTCCTCCCTTGGACCCCTCTTGGGCCCTCTTGAAGGCTCTTTCTGCTGTCTTGGGGGCCCTATGCTGTCTTAGGGCCCTCTCGGGCTGGCCCCAGGTCCTCTCGGAGGCTTCTTCGCCCGTGTTGGGCTGGTCGGGGGTGCCTCGCCGACCGCCTAGGGCTTGCAGAAGGCCAGAGTGGCAAGAGCGCGACCATATGATTACTCCAGCGATGCACCCTAACAGCATCGAAGGTGCTATTCATGCCCCTCCCGATGCTAAGCACTTCTCGCCAAGCGCCGTGTTCCGCCGTTGAGGAGTTCTCGTCGATTCCGCTACTTGGGGGTGGGGCGCCTCTCAGTACGCCTCTCAGTACTTGTGCGTCGTGTCCCCCCACCCTCCTTAGCCCCTCCCCTCACATTTCGTCGGGTCCCAGGCTCGTGGGGGCTACCTACGGGGACGGCACGAGCCCTGGGGTCACCAGGCAATGCTCCCTGTGGGTTCCTGGTGCCCGGGGAAGGTTCTGCACCCACTGGGAGAGAAGCAACGATGCCCGACGCGACCCCAATCAGGGATGCCTGGAGGAAGAGGAGGGCATGGCCACGTGTTCTTACGGTTGTTCCGAAGGGGGGGCACGAATTCGGATACCCCAGTGGGGTGTCTAATATGGTTGGTACGGTTGTCCCGAAGGTGTGCTGCGAAGTTACATTTCCCCGAGCTGGAACCTCGTGTTTTTGCAGTGTCCAGGCCACTCAGGACATGATTGCCCCGAGCTGAATCCACGTGTACGTGCCCAGGCCACCCACGGGGTGGTTCTCACGTGGTTGTCCCGAGTTGGATCCACGTGTTTTCACGTGTCCAGGTCACCCAGGAGAGTATCTGACATGTGTGTCCAGAGCTGGAACCATGCATGTCTGTGTGAATGGGCCGCCCAGAGGATCATCTAACATTGCTTCTTTGGTCCTGAACTCTGAGGAAGCCTCCGGTGAAACGGCTCCTGTGGTCCTACATTGCGATGTAGTCTTAGGCGAAACGGCGCATGCGGTTGTAAAGTGTAAGCGGTCTAGGGTAAAGCGGCTCGCTCCTGCGGTATTGTGAGGATGTCTGAGGCGAAACGGCTTCTGCGGTTTTATTCGGGAGGACGTCTTAGGCGATACGGCTACTGTGGTCCTCGCTTGTCAGGGTGTGTCAGGCCAAACGGTGTCTGTGGTCCCAAGTAATGACGAAGTCTAAAGCGAAACAGATCCTGCTGTATTCGGTCGTAAGGAATTCTCGAGCGAAACGGCTCCTGGGGTGATATGATACATCGTGAGGAAGTCTTAGGCGAAACAGCTTGGGTGGTTTTCACTTGTGAAGAAGTCTCATGCGAAACGGCTCCCGGCGTTATGTATCGCAAGGACGTCGCATGCGAAACGGGGTTTGTGCGTTGCCCAGGTGTGAAGATGTATCAGGCGAAACGGCTCCTTTGAACATAATTCGTAAGGCCGTCTCCGGCAAGACGATCTGTGTGGTCACGGATCGTAAGGAAATCTCAGGTTAATCGGTTTCTGTGGTCGTAACTTGTCAGAAAGTCTCTGGCGAAACGGTTTTTGTGTTCAAAAATGTGAGGCGATCTCAAGCAAAACAGCCTCAGTGGTCGTGAACGATGAGGAAGTCTGCGGAGAAACCCCGATTCTGGGAGTCTGGTCTCCTACCTGTCCCTGTCCCCTTGTGGGACTCCTCTGTGGTCCTTCTTGACCACAATAAGAACATTGCATTCGCTATTGAAAGCCATTGGAAGTCTACCTTTTCTATTTCTTAATAGTCCTTTGAGAGTTACTCCTTGGAGCCCTCTTAAGGCGTCTTGGCGGCATCGCGGGCCGTGTGGAGGCCATCCTAGATATTTTCTGATCCGTGCCGGGCAGGTTGGCACCCTTCTTGAGCTGTCTTGGGAGGCATCTGGGGCGCCTTGGATGCTACGGGCGATTGGTTTCAGGCTCTGGACACCCAGAGTTGTGTTGAGGAGTTCGTGGAGACCCCCCCCATCCTTGAACGAGAGTTCGTTGTGTTGAGGAGTTGTGTTGAGGAGTTCGTTGTGTTGAGGAGTTCGTGGAGACCCCCAGAGTTGTGTCGAGGAGTTCGTGGTTTCAGGCTCCGGATCCCTATTTTTGAACGAGATTTCGGACCCTGGGGGAGGAGCAAAGGGGCAGGGGGGGCAGCCGAAGGCTTCACACGCCTTTTTACCCCTCGCAGGCGAGGGAGGCGGATTAGGATAAGGATGACGACGACGACGACCACGATGATGATAATGATGATGATGATGATGATGATGATGATGATGATGATGATGATGATGCTGATGATGCTGATGATGATGATGATGGTGGTGATGGTGGTGGTGGTGATGATGATAAAGATGATGACGATGATGATGCTGATCATGCTGATGAGGATGATTTTGTTGATGATGATAACGTCGTTTATGATGATGATGATGATGATGATGATGATGATGATGATGATGATGATGATACTGATGATAATGATGATGCTGATGCTGAGGATGAGGATGAACATGAGGATAAAGATAAGGATGATGCCGATGCTGCTGCTGATGATGATCATGGTGCTGATGGTGCTGATGATGGTGATTTTAGAGGATCTTGTTGTTGCTGATGGTGGTGGTGATAGTGATGCTGATGCTGATGCTGAGGATGAGGATGATGTTGCTGCTGCTGCTGCTGCTGCTGATGATGATGATGATGATGATGATGATGATGATGATGCTGATGGTGGCGATGGTGCTGATGATGGTGATTTTGAGGGTTTTGCTGTTGATGATGCTGATGGTGATCGTGATAGTGCTCTCGATGGTCCAGGGGAGGAGGGGGAAGAGGAAGAGGAGGAGGATGTAGAGGAGCAAGGAGAAGGGGGGAGGTGATGGTAAAGGTAATTTGGGGTATGCGCGGTGCGCCAGCCCGCAGGACTGGGCGTGCTGCTGGGCTGCTTACTAGTACGACCACGGCGGCTGGACCGCCTGGTCTCCGCTGCCTTGTCACCCCCCCTCTTTGTGCTGTCCTGTGGGTCAATCGGGTGAGCTGGAAGAAAGACCAATGGGAATGTATTGAAAGTATGAGGATGAGGTTTAGGAGGAGAGGGTTGATGGTGGTGGTGGTGATGATGATGACGGTGATGATGATGAGGACGATGATGATGCTGATGTTGATAAATATGATGAGGATGACTGTATTGGTAATGAAACTCATGCTGATGATGATGACGCTGCTGCTGATGATGAGGAGGACTATGATGATGCTGATGATGATGAAACGGATGCTGATGCTGCTGCTGCTGATGGTGGTGATGAAGCTCATTCTGCTGATGGTGATGATGTTGTTTCTGATGATGAGGTTGCTGTTATTGATGATGCTGGTAATGATGCTGACTGATGAGTGTAATGATGGTGATGATGCTGACTTTGATTATGAGGGTTCTGATACTGATTATGATGATGATGATGATGACGCTAAGTGTGATGATGATGGTAGGGGTGCTGATGATGATGACGATGATGATGATGCTGATGAGACTGATGATGATGCTGATGATGATGTTGATGATGATGTTTGGGATTGACGTTGCTGATGATGATGCTGATGATGATGGTGGTGGTGATTTTGATGGTGTTGAGGGTGTTGGGGGAGGGGGACGAGTCGGGTGATGACGGGGTGTAAGAAGTTGTTGAGGATGGGGACAGTGAGGGAAAGAGCCAGAGGAGTATGTGGTGGAGGTGGAGGAGGATGGGTTGTCCTTCTTTCCATCCTCCTACTTCTCTGTCCTCCGTTTCCCCCCCCCTCCGCGTTTCAACAACTCGCTTTGATCGAGGAGGGAGTGCTTTGGAGAGCAGGTCGTAGTAGGTTTGCTCACTAGAAGGGCGCGTGCTCATGCGCGGCGCAGCTGCCGCATACGCGATGCGTTCTCGCTGTGACGTGACCCGCTTTCGTTGTTGGGATCGCTCCTCCTCCCCCTCCTCCTTCTCCTTTTCCTTTGCCGCACGTCCCCTCCTCGATCTGATCCTCGACCCTCGACCCTCGATCCTACTGACGGTTCCCACCTCCTCCTCCTCCTCCTCCTCCTCCTTCCTCATCATCATCAGCGCCGTTCTTCTCATCTGTATTACCTTTATCAACATCAGCATCACCATCACCGCCATCACCAGTTTCCTCCTCTTTCCCATCATGAGTTGTCACCATCATCACCATCATCACCATCATCACCATCATCACCATCATCACCATCATCACCATCACCATCACCATCTCTATCACCATAGCCAACATCATCATCATCAGCATCACCATCAGCAGCAACGTCGTCATCACCATCATTGTCAGCCATCCACACCATTTCCACCATCATCACCATTAACACCATCATCACCATCACCATCATTATCACCGCCATTATCATCATCATCTTCAGCATCGCCGCCACCATTATCATCAACATCAACATTGCCACTACCTTCACCACCATCATCATCATCATCACCATCACCAGCACCATTATCATAATTATCATCATGATCATGTTTAATGTCATCATCATCATCACGATCACCATTACCACCAGCTTCAGCATCAGCAGTATCATCATCATTATCACCTTCTTTCACCATCATCATTTACATTATCACTGTCATCGTCATCATCATCACCATTGTCATCGCCATCGTCAACGTCGTCGTCATCAGCATCATCATCTTCATTACCTCCGTCATCACCATCATCACCATTATCAGCACCGACATCATCATCATCTTCATTAGCACTGTCGTTGTCAGTACCTGTATCATCAGGATCATCATTGACATCCTCACCATTGTCGTTCTCATCATCACCATCACCAACATCACCATCACCATCATCATCATTGTCATCGTCATCGTCATGGTAATCGCCAAAAGCATTGTCATCGTTATCGTCATCGTGGTCGTCATCATCGTCATCATCAATCTCTTTTCCGCCTTCTCTTTCAAACTGTCTCTTTTTCTCCTCCCCGTCGTCGTCCTCCTCCTTCTCCTCGCCTTCCTTTCTTGCCTTCTCCAGTCTTCTCCTTTTCTTTCTTCTTCTCCTTCTCCTTGTCCTCCTCTTCCCTCTCCTCCTCCTCCTCTTCCTCCTCCTTACTCAACTAGGATGCTCAGCCGTCTCTAGGCTTCAGCGCCAGCGCACACCTGTATATTGCACGCAGAGTTTACACTCTTCAATCAGCATCTTATTTCCCCCGCGGTTTCCGTCGTAAAGATTCCAAGCCCTGCAACTCTAGTTGGCAGCGGAGTTGGGAGCGATCCCAGCTCGCGATCCACGGAAGGTGCGAATAGTGCGATGTGGGCGCGCATTTGCATCTACCTTCGCCTCTGCATTGGTATCACCCTCCATTCCCTGAGTAGCCTATGCTTATGGCTGTTCTGCAAGCCAGCTGGCATCTCTCCCTGGACGCCCATTAGTACGGCTGCGAGGGCATCAACAGAAGGCGCAACCGCGATGGAAAGCGACTCGCCTACAGGACCGCCGCGACGTTCCTCGACCCATCGCAATCCCACAGAGACTGGCCGCAGATTCGCGTCGGGCACGGTTTCGCGGCTCCACCATGGGCTAGCGCCATGCCTCGGTACGCTTGCGATAGTGTTGGCCGTCCTTGCGAGCATATCGCACCACCCGGTTGGAGAGCACTAGAGGCTATCCGCGCTTCGACATGGCGTTCGTCCCAGCGCAGGCCCGAATCCCAAGGCGCCTCCGCAGCCATCATGGTGGTGGGGTTCTATCGAAGAAGATCTTCATTTTGACGTTCTGGGGCAGCATCCTCGTGTTCTTTGCGGCCGCTCTGTCCTGGCTCATCGGCGCGATGCGTGGTGGATCTGGCCCACAGGGCGGCAGAGGCCGTGGTGGGATCACTTCCCACTAGCTGCCCTCATGGTCACCCGAGCGCGAGTCCGTGTTTGCTTCCCGCCACGGTGTACAGGACTTGCTCGCTTGGAGCGTAGAAGCCACCGATGTGGTCAGCGCCCGCCACTGCGTTGCCGTCATTCTCAGCTTCGGTTGGGCCGTTCGATTTGACCTACCTCATCGCGAACTTCGCCACGCATCGATCCATTTGGCGAGGAGTCGCGCCTCCAGGCTGCCCGTGAGCTCTTCGAATTCTCGAGTCGCTGCAACGGAACCGCCGACGCGCTGCCCTCGCGTCTTCTTACGCTGCGATTCCGAGCTACACACAACGGTGGAGCTGCGATGCCTTGGAAGGCTACATATGGCTGCTCCTCCGATCGGTCGGCGTCACAGCCAGCCAAACCATGACACTGCTCCAACCTTTCGGCAACCGAAGCCCAGCCACGTGGGCCGAGGTCACTTGCTCACGAGGATGCTCATGCGCGTGAGCCATATCGTGGAGCATTCGCCAAATAACATCGCTAGCGCTCTTCGCGCGCTGCCATAAGTCGGAGTCTTCGTGGGTGTGACGAATGGCAGCAGCAACGACGCATCTGCTACGGTTCCCTGGTGCACTGAAGGCCTCGACCCCTAGGCTGCCAGCGCCGCCGGGCTTTCTGGTGACTCGGATTATTCTGTGCGCTGTCGGCCCGCCGCAGCGCGCGGCAGGCAGCCTTTCCTGCCGCCGTGTGGGCGCCAGTGGACGGGGCCGATTGCGTCGGCGGAACCTCGTCAGACACCAGCTCGGGCCCAGGCGGAGAGGTCAACCGCCGTGCGCCAGAGCTCCAAAATCTCAGCCCTGCCCCGTTCCATTGTCTCAGCCCTGTCCTCAGCGTTAACGTCGGAGGCGCAGGCGCGCGCGACGTGGTGCGCGCAAGGTTCGTAGATGCATCAAGGAGAACAACAGCGCCTTCACCCGAAAAGCACAAGCAAAGGCAAAAAGGTGCCTCGCAGCCCGCATTTCTCTTGTAGCTCTCAGACGCCCAAGAAGATCGGGTCTCTTTCGGCGGAGGTGGACAAGGCAAAGGCCAGCGCGCGTCCAGCAAAGGGGAGCGCTTGCCCCGAAATCGTCGAGGCTACGACGGGGCCATCGTGGCGTGCAGCATCCGTGGGCGAATGCCGCTGCCGCGCTGAGTGCCCGCGGGGAGGCCGCGTCGTCACCGCGGGGCAGCGGCGGCGGCGGCGGCCAGTTCGGGGTCTGCGCTGACTCCAGACTTACAGACGGCGCTCTGGACCACGGCTCCCTTGCCGGGCTCTCTGGAGTTGCCTTCGTGGTCGCCGATGGTCCTCTTCAGCCGCGGCCAGTCTCCAGCGCCGCGCCAGTGCAGCCGTTCGTCGACTGGCCCCTGGCAGCTGCCCGGGTCCGCCCGCGGCCCGTGGTCAGCAGCCTCGCGCGCCGCCGTCCAAAGCCACGGGGGCACCGACGCAGACAGCTGTCCTGCCGCTATCTCAGGCGTCCAAAATTGCAGCGCCAACTTCAGGACCATTGCAAATGCCGGCGTTGCCGCCGCGTCCTGGCGCGGCCACCGCCGCCGCGGAGCCGACAGCGGCCATTGGCGGATCTCGTCCTTCCGCCAGTGCACCGCGGAGGACCCCAGCTCTGGTGGGCCCCCGAGAGATGGGCCTCGTCGACAAGAAGTGCAGGGAAGGCGCCGCTATCCTGCCGATGGGTCAGCTCGCGGACCCCGACGATCGGCGGATCGCACTCCCCCCCGCGTCAGTGGGCCTGGCCAACTCGCGCGCCTGCGGCATGGTCAGCTAGCGTAGGCTTCCCTGCCAGACAGGCGACGCCGCGGGTATGAGCACTGAGCAGAGACGCCGACCGCGGCGATCAGGGCCGACGTCGTGCGCGACCTGGCCCCCGAGATATCCATCCGGGTGTCTCCGGTGACCGGATTGGTGGTCGACTGGGGCGCCCAGGTGGAACGGCGACGTGCCCGCGGACGTGAGCGCACCCAGCAGATGATCGATATGGTCACGTTTGGACCTCCGTCCAGCCGCAGCGCTGCCGCTGCGAGCGGATCTGCGTGCTCCTGGCTCACAGTGGAGGA